CCCCCCCCCCCCCCCCCCTCCGAGGGGGACTCCCATGTCGGGGTATTTTTAAGGCGTTAAAAAACCGGTTTTGGTATCTCTTAGGGTGCTCAACCTCAGGAGGTCCTCAGCGGGAGCTTTTAGGGTATTGAGCCGAACAATATGACAGGAGATGTTTTGTGTTAGAATAAGTACCTCTTAGGGGTGAAGGAATTTTCCAGCCACGCCCACAAAGCAGGGTCTTACTACCTCTGAGGGGTTCTTTTCAAAATTTTCGACGAGCACCCCGGTCCTTTTTATATGGGAATCCCGAAGGGGTTTTCGCGGTCATTTCATCGCTCGCGTGTCATACCCACACGGGGCTGGGAGAAGGGAGACCCTGGTAACGAGCTTTCTTATTATACCGTATTTCAGATCAAAAATACACTGCTATCGGAGTCACTCCGATCTTTTGGATACGACTTATCTAAGAAAGATCGAAGCCGCTCTGCTATAAAGGGCAAGACTAACACGGTTGAAAACCCTAAAGTGCCGCACATGCCCTATTTACCTTATGTAGGAACTAACCAAGAAGCTGAGGCACCAACGTTTTCAATCTATTCCAAGTAATGTAATGAACACCTTCGAACAAGCAAAACACCACCTCTTTGACCATGCCATGTTTATTTTAGCTGGTAATGGGCATTGTTTTGTATGGCCATGCAACACTTAGTGGAGAAACAGCTGTGAAAAGAGACACTACTTTAGCGAGCCAAATAAATGGTGCAAATTACTCCCGGGACCTCTCGGCACAGGGGAGTTCAGAGTCGAACCTGCCGCCATTTTTAGTGAAGTGGAACCCAGGTCTCGACCGCCACATTTGTAGACAGTTACAGAGCTCGGACGAAAAGTGGCCACGAAATTTTTTTTTCTACTGGCAGTTCTGTTCCTGAATCTGGTTTTTCATTATTTTTCATTTTGCATATATGAACGATATTCCAGTCTCGTTTCCAGAGCCCGCGCGGCCCCTTTGGAACGAGATTGGCCGAGGTAACTCAGGGTTGCCACAGGTCAGGAAATGTTCAGGAAAAAAAGTATTCAAAGACAGGGAAAAGTCAGGGATTTCACCTTGAGTCAGGGAAAATAGACATTTGAAGAAAAGTCAGGGAATAATCTACCATTGAAGGATGGAAGAAATATTTGGGGTCACTGTGATCTCAATAATGGTTTTCCTTAATGACGAAGGAAAATTTGTTGAAAACTTGTCAGTTTTAATGAACGAGTGGAAAGAACGGTTGTAAGTTCAGGTTAGAAGCCTCTACTAGATCTGACATTTTGTATCTATTTGGTAAGGGAAATTTGATTTTTACCAGGGAATAGTCAGGGAATTTTGAAAAGTGATGTCTGTGGCAACCAAGCAACAGTTAATCGCCAAGGTATTCCCAAGGTAGTCCCTCTTTGGTTATCTTTGTACACATCCATTTCTTCCGCGGCTAATGTTACCTCGCGCACTCTGTGAATATTTTCGTGGAGATGC